TAATGTAGGCCTAAATTCCACTTTCTTCGGTTAACTTGATTTGGATATTTTGCCAATACTTTATTTTATAATTTCACAATTTATTTCACAACTAATAGTTTAAAAACTATATGTTCTTCTTGGATGCCTTAACTGCACTCCCACTATTCATTGTTGTAAATCATTTTAAATTATGGGGTTCACATAAAAAAAAACATGGTTGAAATTTACTTGTAATCTTGAACCCAGATGCACTGTATTTTAAATGGAGGAATTGTTTTGAATAATAATTTTGGATAAGCCAATGAATAAATTTTGATTATAAATTATATATATGTTGAGACAATATGGTTTTAATAATATTAACAATGAACATGAATAAATATTGAAAATATAACAAGATTGAGTTTGGAATTTAAATAAGGACTATATTTATAAACATTGAATTTTGAGTCATTACAAATGCTGAAATGCTAAGACAGGTCCGCGACGTAGGAAGTGGTGAAGGAAGTAGGGAGTAGTAAAGGCTAGCATTGCGGAGTGTGGGCAATGTTTGTGGCAATTAGATTAATGTATCTAAAATACTAAAATGCTATGGAAAGTGATGAAAACAGGTCCACGATGTAGGAAGTGGTGAAGGAAGTAGTAAAGTATGAGCATAGTGTGAGAACCGTCTGTGGCAGTTAGATTAATGTATCTTCAATCCTAAAATGCTATGAGAAGGGAAGGAAACAAGCCCCACGATGTAGGAAGTGGTGAAGGAAGTAGTAAAGGCTGGCAATGCAGAGTGTAGGAACTGTCTTTGAATAATAATGGTTTAGTTTACCTCTGTCAATATGGTCCTTGCGTAGTTTGTCACTACTGCAGTTTCGTGCTCGTGGAGCACATCATCAGGTGAAGGTCACAAAAAGTTAAAACATTTTCCTTACGTGAAGGTCGTCAATTAACACACCGAAAAAACACATAACACACGAACGGTACGAAAAAACATTTAACTTGGCCAATACATTAAAGACGTTACACACGGGGTGCGGCGCCGGTAGAAGGCAAGTCATGACTGACGTGTGTTGTAATCGGTAGCCCCCCCGTCCTCACTTCTCTTATCAGAACCTTTTCTTTGGTCTTGTTCCAGGATGTGAATGGCGGTATTATAAATAATGTTTGACTGGAATGAGAGTTGTTCGTTTAAAATATGGTTTGGATGTACTTTAGCTGCTCGGTAAATCTCAAATTCTTCGATGGTGTCCATGTATTTACTTTTATGACAAGTATGCATTACTTCTAAATTTGTTTGTATATCGGTATAACTATGGTTTGAATCAATGATATGGTTGGCAAAAGCTGATTTGGAGTTCTTTCTTGGTAAATGTTCCTTAAATCTAGTTGCAAAAGAGCGTGATGTTTGCCCAATATAAAAACTGGGGCAATCATTACATGTTATTTTATACACTCGAGTGTTGTTTAATTTATCGCTATTGTCAGTTTGTCTTTCTTTTAAATTACTGGACAGTTTGTTTGTGGTTTTGTAAGCAACTGTGATATTGTTTTTTGCTAATTCTTTTTTGAGAACATTATTAAGTACGATGCCATATTCTGCACTAACATATTTTTTGGGTTCTTTTGTATGTCTGATCTGATTATCCTTTTTATTGTTTCTTTGTTTCCTAATCAGTTTGTCGATCAGGGCACTCTCATATCCGTTAGATACTGCGATGTATTTTAATATGTCTATTTCATTGTTGTAATTTTCTGGGCTTAGTGGTATGGAAAGCAGTCTATGGACATAGCTATTGTAGGCAGATAATTTATAATTATGGGGATGATGCGAAGTTGAATGAATTGTCTGGTCAGTGGTTGTAGGTTTCCGGTAAATTTTAAAATCAAACCTGTTGTTTGCTCTTGTGATGGTAACGTCCAGGAAATTTAATGTCTTATTTTTCTCAATTTCAACTGTGAATGTCAAGTTCTTGTGAAAAGTATTAAAGTATGTGCTTAGTAGCTTAATCTGCCTTTCATTACCCTGGAACACGATAAATGTATCGTCTACGTATCTGCTGTAATGGATGATTTTGCTCTTATAGCGATTTAAATCAGAGAATAGAAACTTGTTTCAATTTTATTCAAAAACAGTTCTGACAGAACACTGGAAAGAGGCGACCCCATTGTCAGTCCCTTGTTTTGTTTGTAATATTTGTTATCAAACATAAAATAATTCTGTTTTAAAACACATCTTGTTAAGTTTATAAGTTCGTTTTTAGCCTCGTTGGTCAATGTAGAGTGTGTGTTTAAATTATCTTTCAATATATCTAACGTTTCGCCGATTGGTACGTTAGTAAATAAATTTACAACATCAAATGAAGCGAGTATATAGGATCCCTTTAGGTCAATGTTAGATATTTTATTTACTAAATCAATTGTATTCTTTACACTATGGTCATTTTCTAACTTGGTTTCCTTCCTAATACCGGCGCCGGACCCCGTGTGTAACGTCTTTAATGTATTGGCCAAGTTAAATGTTTTTTCGTACCGTTCGTGTGTTATGTGTTTTTTCGGTGTGTTAATTGACGACCTTCACGTAAGGAAAATGTTTTAACTTTTTGTGACCTTCACCTGATGATGTGCTCCACGAGCACGAAACTGCAGTAGTGACAAACTACGCAAGGACCATATTGACAGAGGTAAACTAAACCATTATTATTGTTGCTGTATGGTCCAGAGGCTACCCATCATGAAACTGTCTTTGGCAATTACATTAATGTATCTGCAATCCTAAAATGCTATGGGAAGAGGTCCACGACGTAGGGGGGGGGGGGGGGGTGAAGGAAATAGTAAAGGTGAGCAGGCAGTGTTGAGTGTGGGAATGGATTAATGTATCTGTAATGCTAAAATGCTATGGGAAGTGACTGTAGACTGTAGGGTTAATATTATTATGAAGAACGAATCGATACATATTTCGATACATGCAATCGTTTACAATAGAAATTTACAACTGAGTTGTGCTATGAGTTTGGCTGCGTGTCCTGTGCTTGACATGACCTCGGACTTCCTAAGCAAAGAAGCAGTTTTCACCAAACCCTTCAATGTTGAATTCCGCTCCAGAGATGAGTGGAAACATCAGGAAGGGCATCTCCAAGATATGGAGAGCTTCGTCTGGTACACATACGGCTCCCTAATCAATAGAAAATCTGGTTTTGGAGTTTACAGTCGATCACCCAGAACAGAACCTCGAGGAAGTCTGGGACGATACTGTACCATCTTCCAGGCAGAAATCTATGGTATCTTGGCTTGTGCCAACCTAGGCCTAGCCAGACGCTACCAAGACAGGAGGGTAAAGATTTTTTCTGATTGTCAGGCTGCTCTCAAATCTCTCGACTCAAATGATGAACCTCAAAACTGGTCTAGGAGTGTTTCAACACCCACTGCAAACTTGCCTCGGAGAACTCTGTAACTCTCGGCTGGGTCCCAGGCCATGTAGGCATTGGCGGCAACAAGAGTGCAGACAAGCTGGCAAAAAAAGATGCGAGCATGCCACTCTTTGGACCAGAGCCATTTTGTGGCATCACCAAAGCTGCCGCTAAACATGCAATCAACAAATGGTCCAGGGGACAACACCTTGAGTGTTGGCGTAATTATCCTGGACAATCACTTGGCAAAAAACTGCTCTCAGAACCCAGCACCCGAGCACCCTCTTCACTCGGTGGCTGCTAAAGCTGGGGAGAGGGCAGGTCATTATCAGGAAACATCTCCACACTCTAGGAATTGTCAATGACAAGCAGGAGTGTCGACTTTGCAACCAGTCCAATGAGACTGCAAAACACATTATTCTGGACTGCGACGGACTAGGGGCTAGGAGAAGGGCTCTGTTTAGTCTAAAGCAGCCAGATGCTAACATTGGGCAAATGCTCCTGCACCTAGGATTTCAATGATCAATCATGAAATTCCAAACATTCCATTCAGTAAAATTGCAGTTGATATTGCAGAATTTCAAAGAAGTTATTATCTAGTGATTGTGAACTATTATTATTCTCGGTGGATTGAGGCTCTGAAGATGAGTACAAAAAGTAGTTCAGTTATTATTTCTAAGCTTAAAGAAGTATTTTCTAGATTCGGGATAAGCAGTTTTATCAGGAATGGAATGTAACAATCATAACAACAAGTCCATACTATCCCCAATCAAATGGATTAGGGGAAAAATCTGTCGAAATAGTGAAATAAACGTTAAAAAAATGTCAAGAAACAAAACAAGATCTGCAGTTATACTTATTAAACTACAGAAACAGCCCAATATCTAACCTCTCTATATAAGTTTCTCCAGCTCAGCTTCTTAACACCAGACACTTAAGAAGTAAAATTCCAATGAGAGAAGAACTATTGAAACCCAAACATGTTGAGGACAGCATCTATGGAAAAATGTTAGAAACTCAGAAAGCACAAAAGTCATATTATGATAGAAAGTCTGTAAACTGTGAAGATAGCTTTACTGAAGGGAAGGTGAGTTACCTCTGAAGCTGGTTTCATCAAATCATCAGTAATGCTAGACATACTTTGAGCAGTTTCAAACATGCACTATGCTAAAAACACAGCAAAACAAATTAATGTCTGTTTCTGTATAGATTTAGATTGTGCAACAATAAAAACAGCTAGCTGATATAAATCATTAAAACAAACATAACAAAACACTAGCGCGCATAGTGGATAAATGCAGAACTAATTGAGAGCGAGAGAAAGTAAATTTAGAGCGAGGGAAAATCAGCTGATTGTTTTTCCCTCGCTCTAAATTAGAGCTTAGGAAACATCTACTTTCTTTCATATCAGCTGTTATCAAAAATAGTTACTTTTGGTAAGGAGTGAAGAGAAATATTTTTTTATCTTGAAAATAAAATAGAGAGTATTACATGCGAAACCTCTGTAAAAATAATTTATAGAGGTTTTCATCAAACCTGTTACCTGTAGGCCAGACTATATAAAAGATATACTTTCTTAATAGATTTCACAAATATGCTTGCCTCTGTGTAACTCACCAGTTTTGCCATACAGCGGCAGATCACCGTCACCACTACCCTTGTTCTCAGGCATGTAGCTGGCAGTGGAGCTGTTGGTAATGACACCCAGCAACAGATACTCGGGCAAGTGCAGCTGGCTGTCTACTGTGACATCCTCCCACACCAGCTCTAGTTGACTAGTGTTGTAGCTCCCTACAACAATCAACATCCTACTGTGACTATGACATCCTTCCACACCAGCTCTAGTTGACTAGTGTTGTAGGTCCCTACAACAATCAGCGAATTTCCATCTGCCTGATTGGATTTTAACTAAAATGTCTCCTTAAAAATATCACATTTATTCCCTGTTTAAACAGAATTAGTTTAAAGAGTACTTAGGTTTGCTGCAACAGGGAGGGTAAAAAAGTTTTTTTTTTTAGTAAAATATTAAAAGGTACTGTGGTTTAGTAAGAAATTAATGTATTTTCCAAATTTGATCAAAATATGTTCATAAACAAGCAAACTACAACAGTTGACTTATTCTCTATAAGAATAACATGGGAATTTTAAAATTACAATTTTTTTTAATTTTCTCCGTAACAATTAGGCGCATAATAACGCTTCAATATACTAAATTATTTGTTTTTTTAAGCTCTACAAAATGGTTTAAAAAGAAATTGTGAAATTTTGTGTTTTTAGGGTCAAAAATGGGAAAAACCTATTTTTACCCCATAAAACCCCCCATAAACCCCCGTTCCCATAGTCCGATAATGCTGGTTCGCGAACTCATTCAAGTTTATCCCGCCTTACACCTTCAAACCAAATTTCATCAAAATCGAACAAAAATTACTCAAGTTATCATTATTAACATCGGTTTAACCGGACTTCACTCGGCGGAAATGACAACTCTTTAACCGGACAATTTTTATCATCACATCGGTTTAACCGGACTAGATCGGCAGGAAGTGGGCGGTACTGAAACAAATGTTCTCGTGGGAAAGATATGAGGCCAGTGATCAGATGTCTAAATACAATGCTCACCTAAATTTAAGTCAAATATGTATACAGTATGCATTTAAACGGTCCGTTTTAACGAGTTTTTGGGGTCGTAGGTGTAACCAGAAAAACCGTTATTCGGACTGGCCTCGGTCCCAAGGAGCCCGGATAAGAGGGAGTCTACTGTACTCTGAAACAAGTGACACATTTTCTACATTATTCAGCTTTAGTATAAACAACGTACTTACAGCTTTCTATTATTATTGGACAATATTGCTGATCAAATGGAAACTTTTGAAGGTCCATTTCACATCGAAGAGTTATTTTTTTCCTGAAAAAAAAAATTATTTATTTAATATTGTTAATACGGGAAAACGTAACTGATGGCTATAAGCTTTACTAAAAGTAAAATCCACTATACAATTATGAATCATAGCTGAAAGAGCTTGTGGGGGAAATTAAACTTCTAAAGAAATCAGGGTAATATCACCCTTATTTATTAATGTAAAGTATCAAGTATGTCACTTATTTGTTCAGGATAAAACAGTATTCCCCCAAGGATACTTTATGTATGTATATGAAGCTCTCAATGTTATCTAGCTTACTCTAATTCAATATTAAGATAAAAAAACAAAATTGCAGTATCCTACAGGTGAAATGGGTTTGGCCAATTTAGTACATCATGGAAGTTTCTTCCAGTAAAGTAAACTTTTCATTTCATTCATTAAATTAACATGTGTCAATAGTATTGTATAACAGGTTATGGGCCCAGGCACCCTTAAATCCTGTGTTACAGCTTTTAAATAGAATCATTATTGCTTGAGATAGAATCTTTACTATGGAGTTCGTTATGCAGAAAATGGAATTGCTGCATGGAAAGGACAACTGGGATGATTGGAAATATCAAATGCAAATTACGCTTAAAGGAATTCCAGATGCCTACAAAGCTATTTCTGGTCAAATGGAATTGCCAGATAAATCTAAAGAAGAAACACAAGCTGCAGGAATTAAAAAATACAAAATGAAGATAGATAATAATAAAACACAGTCAGAGGTAATGTTTGTTAGCATCTTCATTAAGTAAGGAAGTAAGAGCTCAAGTAAGAAACCTAGAAAAGCCAGGTTTGGAAGGAGCATCATAATCTATTCGCAGAAATTGAGGAAAATAAAGTCTATGATATAAGCTCTCTGTTCTTCACCTACGAATGGGATCAACACTTGGATATGGCTGGCAACTTATCTGCAATCAAGTCATTATGGATAAAAAAACTTCATGAAGAAATTGATAAAATTAAAGAAAATAAAGAAAATAACTTACCTCATTGATTTGCAGGATTTTTGAAATCCTACCAGTAGTATTCAAACTTTCAGACCACTTGGTTAATGATTCACAAGTATAAAGCAAGAAACCTTGACAATCTTACAAATTGACTCCGTACAGAAGCGAGAAAGCTGACCTCAAGGGAAAAGGGAAAAGAAGATACCGCTTTAATGGCAGTCAAGAGATATAAAGAAGCTAAAGGTACTTAGCTTAGTAAGTCTACAGAAAAACAGCAAGAACAATGATAAAAGGAAAAAGTTTCCATTCCACACTATTGTCACAAGAAAGGACATTGGTTGCAAGAGTGTCAGAAATGGATAGCGGATGGAAAACCTGAAAGAAAAGAAAAGCTTTGGAAAAAGAATCCAAGCAAGCTGCACTAACCATATTAAGCAATTGCGCTCAAACCCAGAATACTACCGTAACACATGATTGGTACCTGGACAGTGGTGCTACCAACCATGTTACACATAGTACGGAAATGCTTACTGACTTGAAACGTTTGAGCTACCTCATGCAATTACAATATCAAATGGACTACAGACAAGGGCTATTGGTAGAGGAACAATTTGCATGGGAGCAAATTTGGATGGTAATCCAGTAAAGCTAACCTATGTATGGTATGTACCTGGTATTTTCACAAACTTATTTTCTGTAACCGCTGCTCAAGATTTAAATGTGATACTAAATTTGTATCGAGATCTAAGGGTTGCACTTTGTTTGATAAAATTGTAAACTACTCATCAAAGGACATATAAGTCAAGGTGGATGCTTGTTTAAAGCAGTAAGAAAATCAGTTGACCTAATGGCTGGTATGGAAGGATTTCCAAATGTTAATCAGTTGCAGTTACTTCTTGAACGACTAGGACATCAAAGCAAAACTCATGTACAAGAATTTGCAAGGAGACCTGAAGCCCGGAATTGTTTTTCACATTACTTCAGGCTAGACCTAGGGGTTATGGCATCATCACTTAGATATACTAGGTGGCGTTCGCAGAGGCATCCACAAAATTGAGCGGAGTCATCAAGGGTTTATATTATATTGTTTTGGTCATACTGCAGTAATACCAGTCGTTTTTAATGCATGCGTTGCGGGTCTAAAGTAGCAATTTTACTCTTTAAGAAGTAAAAAAGGTTTTTATCCTCTATGGAGTAGGTAAAAATTGTTTTTATCCTCTATGTAATAAAAATCAACTGTTGTCAACTCAGTTGTAAATTTCTATTATAAAAGATTGCATGTATCAAAATATGTATCGATTCGTGCTTCGAAATTATTTTAACCTACAGTCTACAGTCTCTTCCTAAAGCGTTTTAGCTTTGCAGATACATTAATCCATTCCCACACTCAACACGCTCACCTTTACTACTTCCTTCACTACCCCCTACGTCGTGGACCTATTTCCCTCTCTTCCCATAACATTTTAGGATTGCAGATATATTAATGTAATATTGCCAAAGACAGTTCCCACACTCTGCACTGCAAGCCTTACCACTTCCTTCACCATTTCTTACGTCATAGACTTGTTTCCTTCCCTTCTCATAGCATTTTTGGATTAAAGATACATCAATCTAACTGCCACAGACGGTTTTCACACTATGCTCATACTTTACTACTTTCTAAGCCTTTTTCTACATCGTGGACCTGTTTTCATCACTTTCCATAGCAATTTAGTATTTTAGATAGTTAATCTAATTGCCACAAACATTCCCCACACTCCGCACTGCTAGTGTTTACTACTTCTTCCACCATTTTCTATGTCGTGGGGATGCTTCCATCCCTTCTCATAGCATTTCAGCATTGCAGATACATTAATTTAACTGCTACAAACGGTTTCCAGTTCCCACACTCCACACTGCTCACCTTACTAATTCCTTCACCACTTCATACGTCTCGGACCTTTTCTCTCCCTTCCCATAGCATTTTATGATTGCAGATACCTTAATCTAATTGTCATAAACAGTTCCTATACTCCGGACAGCTTGCCTTGACTACTTCCTTCATCACTTCCTACGTCGCGGACCCGTTATCCTCCCTTCCCATAGCATTTTATGATTGCAGATATCTTCATCTAATCATCATAAACAGTTCCCACACTCCGGACTGCTCGCCTTTACTACTTCTTTCACCACTTCCTACGTGACGGACATGTTTCCCTCCCTTCCCATAGCATCAGAGGTTTGCAAATACCTTAATATAATGGTCATAAGAAGTTCCCACACTCCGGACAGCTTGCCTTGACTACTTCTTTCATCACTTCCTACGTCATCGCGGACCCGTTTTACTCCTTTCCCATAGCATTTTATGATTGCAGATACCTTAATCTTATCGTCATAAACAGTTCCAACACTCCGGACTGCTCGCCTTTACTACTTCCTTCGCCACTTCCTACGCCACGGACCTGTTTCTCTCCCTTTCCATAGCATTTTATGATTGCAGATACCTTAATATAATGGTCGTAAGCAGTTCCCACACTCCGAACAGCTTGCCTTGATTACTTCCTTCATCACTTCCTACGTCGCGGACCCGGTTTCCTCCCTTCCCATAGCATTTTATGATTGCAGATACCTCAATCTAATCGTCATAAACAGTTCCAACACTCCGGACTGCTCGCCTTTACTACTTCCTTCATCACTTCCTACGTCCTGGACCCGTTTTCCTCCCTACATCGTGGACATGTTTTCCTCTCTTTCCATAGCATCATAGGATTGCAAATACCTTATTATAATGGTCATAAGCAGTTCCCACACTCCGCACATCTTGCCCTGACTACTTCCTTCATCACTCCCTACGTCACGGACCCGTTTTGCCCCCTTCCCATAGCATTTTATGATTGCAGATACCTCAATCTAATCGTCATAAACAGTTCCAACACTCCGGACTGCTCGCCTTTACTACTTCCTTCGCCACTTCCTACGCCACGGACCTGTTTCTCTCCCTTCCATAGCATTTTATGATTGCAGATACCTTAATATAATGGTCATAAGCAGTTCCCACACTCCGGACAGCTTGCCTTTACTACTTCCTTCATCACTTCCTACGTCGCGGACCCGTTTTCCTCCCTTCCCTTATAATTTTTGGAATGCAGATACCTAAATCTAATCGTCATAAGAGTGAAAATTTAAAAACGTACGTTTTCAGGAAAAGGACTTTGCAAATTTTTTTCCCCTTTTTTCAAAACTTTTATTATTTTTTTTATTTTATTAACATTTGAAGTTTCATAAAATGTCCATGGTAACGCAATATCTTTGGTAGTTTTCTTTTTAAAGAGAATCTTTAGTAGAAAAACACAAAATCCTGGCACGACCATAACGGACGTTTAAATGAATATTAAAAATAGTTAATATTATTTTTATAACTATATTTTGCTATAAACTAATTTACTTTTATGACCATTATACAATAAAAAGGTCACTGAGCTTTTGGTATATTTGGTCTTTCTAGAAAAAAATTTAAAAAACTCAAAAAATAGAAAAAAGCCAATAAAATTTTTTTAAGTTTGTATAACTACGAAAAAACTTACCTGAGACGTGAAAAATCGTTATGTTTGTATAGAGGTGTGCTTCTTTTGTGTATAAAACATTGAAATATGACGATATTTTAATTTTTGAAATTTGTATGATAGAAATCATAAACGTGGTGGTCAGGGACAAGCGGTACGGTCGTGAATTGTCTGGAATAATCTAAATCTTTCCAAACAATCCTTCAATTATACTGTTAGTTATAATAAAACTATGTGTTTCAATTGAATTAAACTGTTCAATTTACAATTATATTAAAGTTATTGTCACGACCAAACACACTATAATCCATAAGGCTGGATTGGTCGTGAAAAAAACCGCGATGGTCGTGAAACTTTGGTCGTGAAATTACGTGTTATTTGGCTCTGTTCTGGCGGTAGCCCTGCACCTCATGTTCGAGGATACAAAGTGGACTTCTAGGTTAATCTAGCAATTGAAATATCTTATAAACAAAAATTAATACCATGTCTACTTCATCGAATGACTATGTACGGTCATGGACACACCAAAATTACAAAAAACACAATCTTTCCTTTATTAATCTTGCTATTCCTCCTTTCAACTCAAAACGACCGGCACTACAATCCTGACGTACACCCCGAACTAGTCTCTAAAACCAACTGACTCCATCGACGCCAGGCTTGCCACTGTCGTGCTCCAAAGTTGAAAATTTTTCCCAAATGGTCGTGACGCCAAATCGAGGGACAGACTTATTTTGTCATGGTAGTCAGTCTGCAATGACAATAAAATTATAATTTGCTTCTTTTTTGTAAGTTTAATAACCATTGATGACATAAAAATATGGCTTTATACATTTTGGCATGAATAATTAGTCTAAAAACAGCGTGAAAGTTGGAAAATGTACCCTAGGGACACGTCATGGTCGTGAATTTCGAGACTTTAAAAATACGAAAAAAATACCTAGAACCTATTTAAAACCAAATAAATGTGTGTAACATGTTGCCCCCGTCCCAAAAAATATTAAAACACATAATAATAAACTACAAATCCAGTATCTAAGAAGTAAAAGGCCAGGGACATGAAAACGTACGTTTTTAAATTTTCACTCATAAACAGTTTCCACACTCCAGACTGTTCACCTTTAGTACTACCTTTAACACTTCCTACGTCGCGGACCTCAAGCTAGTGTCGTCATTTGATTATTTTATGATCCATACCACCGTTTATGTTCTAATATCTGTGGAATAATGTTATCAGCTATTTATTTATCTACTGCATTCAAAAGTCAACAGCTGATCATATGTCTTTGTTTATGTGTCAAATACTGCTTCCATAAGGATTACATTGAAACTTTGAGACCCAGTGGGGCGGATTCCTGAGAGTTATTTTTAACGCCATATATGTTGGCACTCACCGATATGGTCTTTATCACCATCCAAAATTTGAAAACGATTGATTCAGCCGTCTAGGAGGAGTTTGCGTATTACGAAATGCATAAAAGTCGACGTATAAGAGCTTCGCTCAAAAATCCATTGGTAATTTGGTGGGATTTTAACCCAGGACCCCAGGAATTGGAGTCCCGCGCTCTAACCACAAGACCATCTCTCTCCCCGACAACCAGGTATGTGAAGGTTGTGCTTATGGAAAAATGCACTGAACACAATTCAGAGGCAGATATAAACACAGAGCTTCGGTACCTGGTGAAAATCATTCACTCTGATGTTTGTGGACCTTTTCTTTGAGTCGCTTGGAGGTTCAAAGTATTTTGAATTGTTCAAGGATGACTTTACTCACTAACGCAGTGTTTATTTTATGAAGACAAAAATCTCAAGTTGCAGAGAAGCTGAAGCAGTTTCTTGCAGAAGTCAAAGTCACAGGCCATGTAATATGTAAGTTAAAATGTGATGGAGGAGGTGAATTGGACAATGAAAATATTAGACAAATTCTTCGAGTGAATGGAATACAACAGTTGATCACAATGCCATACACACCACAACAGAATGGCGCAGCAGAGAGAGAAAGTCAAACCATCGTTGAATGTGCAAGGTTGATGATACATGCTCACGGTGATCTACCTCTAGGCTTATGGGCTGAATTGATAAACACTGCAGTCTATATTTTGAACATAACTGCTAACTCATCAGTTGCCGTCAAGACTCCATGTGATTTTACTTTAGAGTGCCGACTAAATTACTTTTAAGTCTGCACACATATATGAGTTATGGTTTGGAAAAGGACCTGCAATAAAACACTCACGAGTTATCGGGACAGATTGTTTTGTCCATGTTTCGAAGCAAAGAAGACATAAGTTAAGTTAGCCAAGTAAGCGATAAAATGCAAACTTATTGGATATGATGGTAATGAAGGATATCGTCTCTGGAATTCATGGAAATGTACTGACATTCGGTCCAGGGATGTAAAATTTTCGGTCCTGTGGAATGCTGCTCGTTGACTTGGGAACATTTATTCTGTATGTAATTATCATACCTTGACAGACCTTGACATACCTTGAGAGACTGACAATAGTGCCATCTGGCCAGATAGAGTTCATGACGTCCTTCTGTGAAGACCCCATCACTGTGGAGTGCTGCTCATTGGTGATGTACAGGTGAGGATGCCAGATCATATCTCTGAGCTCATCTCCTTCATGTCTCAGCACGTTGGCCTGCCTCAGTCTGGGGTCGCTCCAACGGAACCTCAGTAGAATCTGGACCGTGTACTCCTAGTGAATAATTGACATTCCTTTTAATAGTTTTTACAATTACAGTATACTGTATAATGTATATACATGTCTTATTGTTTTATGTCCTAGCACTTTGGGAGTATATTCAACATACTATTGATGGTGCTATGTACATTGACATAATCATAATTGTGATAGAAAATATTCCCAGCTGTTGTTGGACATTGTTATTTTCTTTGTTTATGTTGAATGTTTGTAATCATTATTTAATTCTCTAGATTTAACTCTTACTTATGAATTTCATTCCTTGAATTGTGTTAAATAAAGCCTACTCATTCAAGGCAAACAATCTTTATTCTTCAACATAATTTATTTAACATAATATCTTCAATCATGGAAAAACATTTTGCTCCAGCAAAACTTTCAATAGATCCAAACTCTTCAACAGCAGCAATGGAATGGAATCACTGGCTCAGGACATTTACAAGTTTTATTGAAGTGACAGAAGCAAATGAATCTGAGAAATTGAAACTTCTAATCAAATATGTGGTGCCTTCAGTATATACTTATGTCAGTGAATGTTTGAATTTTAAAGATGCAATTGGTAATCTTCAAAATCTATTGTAAGCCAGTTAACAAAGTATTTGCTCTCCATAAGTTATCTACTCGTCAGCAACAACCAGGAGAATCAGTTGATCAATATCTAGAAGCTTTAAAGATACTTAGCGAAGACTGAAATTTTAAAGCTACTTCCGCAGAAGAAAATAGAGATGACTGCATTAGAGATGCATTTGTAACTGGTCTGATTGCTCCACACATTTGCCAGAGACTGCTATAGAGAACTTTAAGCTGCCTCTTCAAGATGCTTATGAACAGGCCCATTGCTTGGAAATTGCACAACAACAAGCCCTCCTTTATCAACCCAGCTCAAATCTCAATTCAGTTTTAAAACAAGAAAACTCAATCGTTCAAGACGATGATACAAATAATCCAACCATAGCTGCTACTTCTGGGAGTAATAATAGATGTTTCTTCTGTGGATTCAATAGACACCCAAGAAATGACTGTCCTGCAAGAAATTCTTACTGTAAAGGTTGTGGTAAAAAGGGTCACTTTGTTAAGGTATGTAAGTTACATACCTTAACAAAGTGATGTAAGTCTTCCTCTCAAATAGATTAATCAAGTTTTGGTCCAAACTCAAAAATTAAACATACATCTTCATCAGTCATAAGCCACATAAGTTGTTCTTCAAGTTATCCCCTAGGTCTTTCAAATGCTATTTTCCCAGTTAATGTAAATGGTAAAGCAGCTCAAGCCCTACACACTGTAGCTGTAATTGACACTGGTAGTACCACTAGTTTCCTGAGTAGTGACTTTGTAAATCAACTGAAAATCAAAACCTATCCTTCTAAAATCAGTCAAGTAGGCCTATCAATGGCGGCTTCCGAGTTACCTTCTAAAACTAAAAGGTGAATGCAAAGTTAATTTGAAGATTATTGGTAACTCATACAATACAATAATGTGATTTTGTGCATTTTACCCAACCTCTGTTGTGATTTGATAATAGGTCACGATTTACTCAGTCGTCATTCTAAATTATAACTCACATTAGGCGGACCCGAATCTCCTCTTGCTATAGTATCTGTAGCTGCTGCAAAACAAGCTTCACTATTTGAGCATATTTCACATGATTGTCACCCTATTTCTGTGAAATCTCGCCGTCATACAGTAACAGATTATCAGTTTATTTCAGAAGAAATTCACTCACTATTGCATGAAGGGGTAATAGAACCAAGTATATCTCCGTGGAGAGCTCAAGCTTTTGTTACCAGCTCCGAAAACCATAAGAAGCGTATGGTAATAGACTACTCTAACACTATAAACAGATACAAGTCTCGATGCTTATCCAATCCCAAATCTTGAAGAAATTGTCAATAAAGTTGCTAACTATGAAGTGTTTAGTGCCATTGATTTAAAAAGCGCTTACCATAAAATACCGATCAAGGCTGAAGATAAGCCTTTTACAGCTTTTGAAGCATGTGGTCAGCTGTACCAAATTACCAGAATTCCATTTGGGGTGACAAATGGAGTTGTTGCATTTCAGAGAGTTATTGATGGTATAATAAGGACAGAAAATCTAAATGACACCTTTGCTTATTTAGATGACAAAGAATTTATTTAATGACCAGTAAGAACAAACATGAAGAAAAAATTGTTGTTATTAAGAATTTTTCTTTTAATTCGTCTTTGTGTATTGGATTCCTTGTATTCTTGTGAAGCTAGAGAGACAATAAGTAATTTCCGTAGTATGAACTGTGTGATGATGATATTTAATTTTAATGAACAGTCAATACATTATGACATAAGTTTAGAAAGGATTTCGTATGGAAAACACAAACGAATTTGGAAACTAATTCATAAAACTAAATACAGAAATGTTAATTACACATTTGCAATACTAATGACTTTAATACTCCTTTGTGGGGATGTTGAATCAAATCCCGGACCATGGCAAGACCCTAATTCTGATTGTTCAACAGTTAGAGGGGCAAGACCTGACACTCCAAGCACATCCACCGGTTTATATAAGACAACGATGGGCAGAGATGAGAGATACATGAGACCTTGTTTTATGTGGCAAGGTGACGACAGCAGTTTTTTGAGTGAGTCACGGTGTCATGAAGAAGATGTGCTTTTATCAGAAGTGCATGTGACACCGGAATTTACAGATGCTACTTCAGAAATGTCACAATCATCTGTCGAACCTTATACTTTGCCTCTGTTTGACATAGATAAATATGATTTTTTCCCCAATTGTGAAAAGAAATACACTAAAAGAGCCTTTAAAATTCATAGTAAAAATTGTAAAGGCACTGGTAGAGCTGAAGATTATTTACCGAATACTGACAATCCACACAATGATAACGCAATTAAAATGAAAAAGAATAAGAGAAGCTGTTTAATCAACAAACCAATTCCACCTAAAACACCTTGTCCTCTAACAAATTCTGAAACATTATATCAACCAAAGCTTTTACAGTTGGATAATTGAGTGAATGTAAAATTTTAGTAGAATCTTTCAACATAAATAATTCTATAGAAGAACATCAAATTACCTGAGATTGGAAGTCTCGTTGGGAAAAAATCATACACCTCAATAGATTACAATACGACCTACCATGTGGCTCTATAGGTGACGGATTTGTGAAAATGTTAGCTGAAGAAATTTTACTTTTAGCCAATGGTCAAGAATGTTCCGAGCGATTCATATGTTTCATTGCTGTTATATTACAAAAAGAAAAGATGGTAAGACAGGCGAAAGATATTAGAAAATTAATTGAAAGAAGACTTGATAAGTGGAATAATTGATGTTATGATGAATTAATAGATGAAGCAATTCGATGTAATAGGTCCCTAAAATCAAAGAATAAAGCCGAATACAAGGATAATGAAGAGTTCATTAAAACAAAATTCAATAGATTCGTTCAAAGAGGAAAAATAAAAGAAGCATCTCGGATTATTAATCAAGACAATAAAGGAGGCATATTAAGTCCTGATACTATTATAGATGGTGTTGGACGCACAGTATTTGATATATTGAAAGAAAAACATCCAAATGGCACAATGCCTCATCCGGAATTGCTAAAACTACCCAGCCACATGAAAGAAATACCTAGATTGGAGTCAGTTGAAATCACAGCTGAACATGTAGAAAAAGTTGCAAGAAAATTGCATGGGAGTGGAGGGCCAGGCGGGAGTTCTTCTGAACAATGGACAGATTTTTTACTAAGGCATGGTAGAAAAAGTGCTTTCTTAAGAGCGTCAATTGCTGAATTAGCAATGAAGTTAAACGAAGAAATCATACCTTGGTCAAAAATACAAGCTCTTATGGCTAATCGGTTGGTTGCAATCGACAAATGCCCTGGTGTTAGACCGGTGGGTATAGGAGAAGTGCTCCGACGTATCTTAGCAAAATGCATAATTCTTGCAACTGGTGATGAAGTTATTGACATATGTGGCACTGATCAACTCTGTGTAGGATTAAAAGCAGGAATAGAAGGTGCAATACATTTCATGAGAGACCAATATGAAGAAAAACGTCAAACTGAAGAAGACAGCTGCATGATAATGGTTGATGCTGACAATGCCTTCAACAGGATAAACAGAGTTCATGCGTTATGGCAGGCAAGAATTAAATGGCCAAGGGCTGCACGATTCATTTTCAACACATACCAGAGTAAGGCTCCACTAATTATGCCAGGAAGTAAAAAACAACTGTATAGCATGGAAGGCGTTACTCAGGGAGACCCATTATCTATGATATTGTATGGATTAGCCACTTTGCCGTTAATTTATGAATTAAAAACCATCCCAGATACAAACCAAGTATGGTATGCGGATGACTCATCATGCCAAGGAAAACTTTATAATGTGATGAAATGGTGGGAGAAATTACAAGAAATTTTGCCTAAATATGGATACTACCCACAAGCTCACAAAACCCGTTTGATTGTAGGATCTGAACCATCAACATTAGACCTAGCCAACATATCAGGGTTACAGATTGTTACAGGGAGTAGTTTTTTAGGAGGATTTATTGGAGGTGACAAAACAGAAAAGGATTTCTTTATTTAAAAGAAGGTAGAAAAGTGGAATAGTCATTTGGTAAGCCTGGCGAATGTTGCTGAAAAATATCCACAATCTGTACATACTGTTGCCACAAAATCCATACAAGCCGAATGGAATTTTTTTCAAAGAGTTGTTGAAAGTGAAGACATTAATTTTCATCCGATAAAAAACTCAATAGAACAAAACCTATTTCCTGCTTTATTTGGCTGTCATCTAAACCAAGATGAACAAAAAATATTACATCTGCAAGTAAAAAATGGAGGAATTGGTTTAGTTGATCCTACCGCTCAGGGAAAAGCATTGTTCTGAGCTTCAAATAAATGCTGTAAATTCATCATAGACTCTCTAAAAACTAAGAGGAAAATAAGCATGCAAGAACATGAAGAACATTTGGTTATCACAAAAAAGGA